CATCCTGGTCAACATGGTGAAACCCGTCTCCACTAAAAATACAAAAAAAATTAGCTGGGCACGGTGGCGCGTGCCTGTAATCCCAGCTACTCAGGAGGCTGAGGCAGGAGAATTGCCTGAACCCAGGAGGCAGAGGTTGCGGTGAGCCGAGATTGCGCCATTGCACTCCAGCCTGGGTAACAAGAGCGAAACTCCGTCTCAAAAAAAAAAGAAAAAAAAAATACAGACATTTACCCATGTAATTTACCTGTATAACGTACCTATATTCTTAGACCTGACTTTTTTCTGTTTGATTGAAGTACAGCATATCCACTTACAGTATTGTTATATAGACTGATTTATGAATACAGAAAAGTTTTCATATATTAGAAAACTGGAAGATAATATACATTTTCCCTGTTAATGCTGTTCTGATAATCCAACTTATTTGTCAGGATTTTACAGTAATTTTTTTTATCTGTTGTGCATTGGGCTACCAAATTCTGTTTAATGCAAAATTTTGATTTTCTTCTAAGCACACACTCATCTGTTTTTGGTAATGTCTGCCAAATGGAATGTTGAGCTGAATGGTTTATTTATAGGTAGTGGTTCAATTTACTCCAAGACGGGGTAAGATACATAGTGTAAGGTTTCCATATGCCAAAGAAAATTGATATGTTTACTGGAATTTTCCTATAGTACATTGAGGGTAGTAAACAGCCATATTCAAACACATGGTGAAGTGACTGCTACCATAACTGGATTCTTTTATGCTTTCCTAACTATTATTATTCCAGTCTAGTGATTTCATTGTAATTACTGCTGACTTCTGTAATGATTTTTTTTAATCTTTTAATTCTTTCAAGTATGTCATCAAAAATTCTGATTTTCTATGAACACTGCAAGTTATAAATTAGTGTTTATGGATACCACTGCCACTTTCACCAAAACCAAACCAAATATTGTAATGGCATTGTTGGAATTACACTATCATGATATATATGTGATTAAGATAATCACTCCATAAACATTTTGGCAACGATTTCCTTAATAATCCCTAAGCTGGGTTCTTTGAAGCTGTAGCTTTTTAAATTCTTAGTTTATAATATAGCATAGTGTCTGACTATTGGGTATTACACTCATTGTAGAACCTTTAAGTGTGGTTATTGTTTACTCCATATATGTGTTTATGTAATGAGAAATGGCTTTAAAACGTGAAACATTAGTGTAGAGGATTCGGATTTTTATCTATATTATACAGAAAGCAACAAAGTGACAGTCAAACTCCAAAACTATGTAGAGTTGCATGTTCATCTCTAACACTGTTTGTATGAAGGTACTGTTTACACTTGTTTTCTACTGTAATACAGTGAAATAAAACCAAAGTTCTTAGTACATGGAAAAATGTGCTAATCTCAGCAGATTCTCTATCATTTCTCTTTCCTTGCCTGATAGCAATCAGCTAGGGTCATCCAGAGTCATAGTATTTTTTTGTTAACCATATGTCAAAAAATTTCTATTTCCCTCTTTATTCTTTCTTATACAAAATATACAGAAATCTGTTCTTTGCTCAATTTTCAAATACCTCATATTTTATTCTGATTTTGAAGGACTTGACAAGTGAAAAAGTATTCACCTATCTACATTTACAGTATAATCAGACCACCTGTCAAATGTCTAGAAATTGCCTTAATAGAAATTGTTCTATTTCATCTACTACTGTCTGTGTCACATGGGTAATTGTATTGTAGGCAGGGTTATGTAAATAATTTCAAAGGAAAAAGAAAAAGATCTTTAAATGACCAAAGTTGTCTTCATTGTCCTACTTATTTAAACAACAGGCTATTGATTGTAAATACACTGATTTCTAACTAGGCCTATCTCATTCTCCTCTGTTGTTTGCCTGTAAGGATAGAAGTCTTAGAGGTTTGACCACCCTGTCTACAGACATTCATGCTTACCCAATCATTTTTGTACTAGAAGTTTCATGACAAGAGTGTTCTTGGATGAGTGTTCTTAGATATTATCCAGGACTTTTTGGTTGAAGTAGATTAAGAATGAGGAAAGTGTGGTTTAAAGCTCTGTTTCTTGTGTGCCTTATTTTCCAAAATGTAGCCTTAAAAACGTTTGGAATCATTTTATATTTTGAATAACTCTCTCTTTCAAAAAAGACTCTGTTTCCATCATATGTTGTGAAACATTTTAATATTTAATCTAGATTTTTTAAAAGACAAATTCACAACCAACAAAAAATTTTAGGATAATAACAACTTTATGACATACTTCTAGTAACTCAAAGGCAGTTTAAATTATTCTTTAAAGGCACATAATAAATAGGTGATATTGAACCTATAAAATCATCTTAATGCTTATCTGTAATTATAGTTATTAGATATGATTATTTAGATAAAGATGGGTACTTTTTAAACCAAATACACTATTCATTGAATTTATCTCTTAAACAGTTTTTATTTTAGAGACAGTGCCTTCTAACTTTTATGGAGAAGGAACTTAAAGGTTACTTTACATGTAAAGCTTAACACAGTCTGAGCATTATCTTTTATGTTTTTTATTTTCAATTTTCAAGGCAGAGAATCTTATTGGCTCAGCCTACATCATATATCTACCATCACCCTCCCCTCCACCATCCTGTCAGCCATGGTTGTGTCAGGGTCATCTGATACAAACATGACAGTCTAGGCTCACCCTTCTCTCAGTGGTTGGTGCTCTTCCAAACAAGAAAATGGAACATGGACAGGCAACCCAAACTTGTCTGCTACAGCATTTGACCAGGATAGATTTTTATTGCTTTTGCTGCTCTAAACACACTGACAAAGAAAAGATGTTCATAGTTGATAAGGGCTGTTTGATAAATATGGAAACACTCTGGCAACTTATTCAGACCTGATAGATGTAGATACATGAGCTAAGAATATATGAGTTGTTAGGTTCTTAGTTTGTGTTATTAAAAAATTTTTCATTTTGAAGTATATATTTACTGAAAATAAAAGTACTATCCATTAAAAAAAAGTACCATCAGAATAATTATATTCTGAGAGAAGTCATTACTCTTCAGGAAAACCACAGTTGGAAATATTGAATAATTAGAAATGTCTGAAAATCTAATGCTGATGAAGTTCAAAGGTAATCTACTCATGATCATAAATTTTCTCACCGTTCTAGAAAACTTCAACTAAACAATGTCCACTGGAATGTTAATGTTGATTCTCTCCTTTAGTTTTTCAGAACTTATTTATGTTTTTTCTCTTGTCATTAATGTCATATGCTTTTCCTTTAAAAAATGATGAAGCAGCAGCTGAATAGAAAATTTAAATTGTAAGATATGTAGTCCATCTCCACCATCATTCTTGAGAGTAGGAGCCTCAAATTCCTCTATCTCCATTAAGGAGAGAGAAAGAAAGAGAGAGACAGAGAAGTAGTATTCTAAAATAAGATGAGCCTACAAACTGGGGCAATAGTGAAACTGACATGTCAGTAAATAATTAGGATACTTCTCATGCAGTAACAATTGGTAAGTTTTCAGGGGGACTATTACTTGCTTGTGTAGCTACCTTTTAAAACTGTGACTTTTCTTTTTTGAATAACCTACCTGAAGTGGAAGTTTAGAGAAAATGCCTCTATTGAACACATAAACATTCTCTTTTTTGTAATCATCTGTTATTATTAAGAGGGAAGAAATTAGCCTAAACTCTTTATAATCTGGTCTTCACATTCACTCCCCTTCAACCTTTCTCTGCATTGTTGCAAAAATGCAAATCCTTTACTTCTCTACTTAAAACACTTTCCGACTTTTATTGCTCCTAGGATAAAAACGAATATCACCAACATAGCCTACAAGGCCTATGTGGTCAGGCCTCTGCATCCATGTCCAGGCTCACTGTAACTTGTGCTTCCTTGTGCTGTCTAAATTCCACTGGCCTTCCTTCATTTCTCTTTTTTGGCCATGTGCCTCCCCATGATAAGCCCAATATTTCTGCCTGAAATTTTATACCCTCTGCTACCTTATCCCACCTCCATTGCATCCCTTTGCCTGATTGACTTGTATTAATTCTTCAATTCTTGACTTAGCCATCACTTTCTCAGTGGAAACCTTCCCTGTCTTCCCCAAAGTGACAATGTATCTATTAAAATATTAGAGACACCTCTTTGAGAGTTTTCACAGTTGTTATTTTACATTTATTTGAAGAGTTTTGATTAATGGATATATTTAAGAATGTTTTCCTTTCTAGAATCTAAAGAAATAATTACCCTTTTTTTATCTGATTTCCAGAGTTCTACTTTCAGTCCCTTAGTTGTAGCTTTTAATTACCTCTTGGCATTTACATTTTTTCTTTAAGATCTTATGATCTTTCTAAATGTTTTAAGTGAATGGATGCTTTTAATTCCTAAATTAATAGTTAATGAAACCGTCAGACCCCTTATAAGTGTAAAACAATAAGATGCCACCCTTATCAGAGAGTGTAAAACTGGAAATAATGGAAATGCCAGATAAGTTTTCTTGAGAAATGAACCAAAAGAAGTGTTTTCAACCAGTGCTAATGGCCACTTGCAATTCTATATGGAGTTCCTTTTAGCAGTCACTTGCCCAGAGAGGATAGGCTTTTGCAGCATCAAATTAGAGCTGAGAAAATCCATTTGCCTGTGTCACTTTCAGAACTTTAAAATAATCATGGTAGTAACAATGAATTGAAAGGGGTGTTGTACAGTTCATACAATTACCATTGCTTTGCTGCATCAGGATCACTTTCATTATTCTTCATTTAATGAGGAAGGGCTTCTTTACAACTTTGACTAGTCATCTTCCTTTCTCTTTTCTCCTTCATTTTCAAAGTTAACTTTTTTTTTTCTCTTAGAGATGCCTTACATCATTTAGATAAAATACTCACATGAGCTAGAAAATGTTTAGCACTATCTTCAGGGAATCACTTACCTCTGTGAGTTTCTCTCAGACACTCAAAATTGTACACAAATAAATATTTTCCTTAAATTTTCCTTCTCAGCTTTATTCGTGGTCACATTTCAGGAAGCATCAACATTCCGTTTAGTGCTGCATTCACTGCAGAAGGGGTGCTTACCCAGGGCCCTTATACTGCTATGCTCCAGAACTTCAAAGGGAAGGTCATTGTCATCGTGGGGCATGTGGCAAAGCACACTGCTGAGGTAAGTACATTCAAAAATGTCATATGTACATATAATTAGTAATTTACCTGCCTTCTATATGAAGATTATCTAAAAGTATATTTCTTCAGGAGTTGGTTACAAATAATATGAGCTTTGAAGATTTCTGTGTGTTCTTATATGGAAGAGTTTGTCTGCCTTTAATTGAAGCGTTTTTCCCTCAGTGTTCAGCATCAGGATCAACAGTAACCTTAAAAAAATCAAAATGGTATCATAAGGCTGTTTTTTTCTAACTGCTTTCTCAAATTGCAAAGAAGTAGCTTGAATTCCCTCCACTGGAGAAAATCAGTAGTGTTCAAGTGTAGGCTGTGAGAGCTGGTCATGATGAGATTTGTTAGATTTAGGAATTTTGTTTACTAGAGACTCAAAGCTTTTTGATAATAGAGAATTCAGGAAGAACGTCCACTTTCAGGCACGAGAAATACATGAAACAATAAAATGGCTTCCCTCTTCCATGGCCATGTTCTAAGCAAATTAAAAAATAAAGAGTAGCATATAAAGGCCAAAAATATTCATCTTTATTTTTTAATAAAAGACAAGTTGAAGACTATAGCTTAGTTAGAGAGCCAAATTGACTTGCTTAAAAACAAGCAGGCAGAGAAGGTATCTAGATATAGGCAATGTTGAACCACTACAGGATCCTTCTCTAAAAGGGAAGAATCTCCTCCTAGAAAAGTAGCAAAGGTAACTTGCTCCCTGCAGACAACTTTTTTCTAAAAAGAACATAAATAGGACTGAGGCTTCCCAAATTTACCAATCAAATAAATCCTTCAACCACCCAGGGCAGAGAGAATAGAGGGACAAAAAGAAAGAACAGAAATATGCTTAGGAAAATTCTGTCATCAAGGAATTCAGGAGTGTAGACAAAATATTTGCCTTGATTGTACATATTCCTTTGAGCACTCCAGAAATATGGTCACTGAAAATGTCAGATTAGAACTTTTAAACTTTATTTTTTTAATCTTAGAAATCAGAGAAATAACCTACAATCTCTATTATTATGATAACTAATAACCATACTTTGTTGAACATTTGGAAAACATAAAGAGACCAAAAAAGGAAATTAAAAGTATGCATGATTTTACCACCTGGGAAGCAAAAAACACTTCTTGAATTTTTTTATTGGAAAACAAGTCCTCCATTCAACTCAATTCTGATATTGGCTAAAGATAACCCTCCTATCCCTGCCTGCACAGACCCAGTACTGATAGAAACTGAGAAAAGAGGAAAAATGAAAATACTTTGTTGTTTCATTCCTAGAGCAAGTGTGTATGAAGTCCATGAAAACAACATGTGATGGTTACATTTAGAAAACTATGCCATATGATTTTGTAGTAAGGAACTAGGCTATTGATTTTTCCAATTTGATGCCTTAAGTATAATTTTTTAAGTTTTTGCTTTTCATAGAGCAAAATTGAGAGAAAGGAATAGAAATTTCCCATATACCCACTACCCGGCATGTGCACAACCTTTCTCGTTATCAACCTCCCCCATCAGAGTGGTATATTTGTTACAATTGATGAACCTTCATTGACACATCATTATCATCCAAAGTCCACAGTTTACATCAGGGCTCATTCCTCATGTTGTATATTATTATTTTTTTTTAATTTGTAAGAGATATTTGTTAACTTTTATTTTAGGTTAAGGGGTGTATGTGCAGGTATGTTATATAGGTAAACTCATGTCACAGGCATTTGTTGTACGGATTATTTCCTCACCGAGGAAGTAATACCTAGTGCCCAATAGTTATTTTTTCTGCTTTTCTTCCTCCTCCCACCCTCTACGCTCAAGTAGGGCCCAGTGTTTTTTTCTTTTTTCTTTGTTAGAACTTTAAAACTTTAAAAGTCAGATTAGAACTTTAAGACTTTGATCATAAACTATTTGAAGTATCCAACAATCCATGTCTCAGAAATACAGGCTGATAGCAGCATTAACTTTTGACACTAAATGAAAGTCATTCTTAACGATGAAGCTTAACTAACCATACTAAAGAAGTATCCAAGTGGATATTACTTTTAAGTCATAAATCACTCACCTACCTTTTATATAATGATATTTACCATCCAACAGAAAACAATCTAAATACACCTATTTCAGAGAAAGTCAGAATAGTAACTCATATGGTTTGGATATTTGCCCACTCCAGATCTCATGTTGAAATGTAATCTCCAATTTTAGAGGCTGGCCTGGTGGGAGGTGTTTGGATCATAGGGGCAGATCCCTCATGAATGGCTTGATGCCCTCATGGTAATAAGTGAGTTCTCACTCTGTTAGTTCACATGAGAGCTGGCTGTTTAAAAGGCTAAATCTTCCTTCTCTCTTTTGTTCCTGCCCATGCCATGTGACATGCTGGCTCCCTATTACCTTCTACCATGATTGTAAGCTTTGTGAGGCTTCATCAGAGATAGATGTCAGCACCATACATTCTGTAAAACCTGCAAAACCAGAAGCCAATTAACCATCTTTGTTTTCAGAAATTACCCAGTCTCAGGTATTTCTTTATAGCAACACAAGAACAAACTAACAGATAATTGGTACCAGGATTGGGGTGTTGCTATGAAATACCTGAAAATGTGGAAACAGCTTTTGAACTGGACAATGGGCAGAGGTAGAAAGAATTTGGAAGGCCGAGAAGAAGACAGGAAGATGGGGAAAGTTTGAAACTTCTTAGAGACTGGTTAAATGGTTGTAACCAAAATGCTATTAGAGATATAGACAATGAAGTTCAGGCTGATTAAGTCTTAGGTGGAAATGAGGGAGTTATTGGGAACTGGAATAAAGATCATCCATGTTACACCCTGGCAAAGAACTTGGCAGCATTGTATTCATGTCATAAGGATCTGAGAAGTTTGAACTTAATTATGATACAAGATACCTGGCAGGGAAAAAATAAGCAGCAAAGCACTAAAGAAGTAGTATAGCTGCTTTTGACACCCTAAGTCATATATGGAAGCAAGTAAACAACTTAAGTTACATTTAAAAGGGAAGCAGAGCATAAAAATTTGGAAAACTTGTAGCTTAGTCCTGTGGTAGAAAAAAATCCAAGCAGCCTGCAGAGGAAACATTTGTTAGAGAGATTAGCATTACTAAAAGGGAGCCAAGTGCTAATAGCCAAGACGTGGGTAAAAGGCTTTGACGGCATTTCAGCGTTCTTAGGGACAGACCCAGAGGCCTTGGGAAGAAGATTGGTTTCCGGGGTCAGGCCCAGGACCCCACTCCCTGCATAGCCCTCAGGACAGTGCTCCCAGCATTCTGACCACTCAGGCTCCAGCCACAGCTCAACTGGGCCAAGGTAAAGCTCAAGCTGCCACTCTGGAGGGAGCAAGCCATAATCCTTGGCAGGTTTCGTGTAATGTTCAGCCTGCAGATGCACAGAATCCAATGTGCAAAAGGCTTGGCATCTCCCACCTGGTTTCCAGAGGATGTATGGGGAAGCCTGGATACCCAGGCTCTACTTCAGGAGCAGAGTCCCCACCAGGGAACCGTATAGTGGAGCTTTGGGAAGTGGGATGCCACCCTCCAGACCCGAGAATGGTAGAGCCACTGGCAGCTTGCAACCTCGGTGTGGAAAAGCCATAGGCACTCAACTCCAACCTGTGAGAGCAGCCTCAGGGGCTACACCCTGGAAAGCCACAGGGACAAACCTGTCCAAGGCCTTAATAGCCTACGTTTCACACCATTGTGACCAGGATGCAGGACATGATTTCAAAGGAGATTGTTTTGGAGCTTTAAGATTTAATGACTGTCTTGATGGCTTTCAGACTTACGTGGGCCTATTGGCTCTCTTTTGGCCAATTTCTCCCTTTTCAAATGATAATGTATATGCAATATCTATAGCACCATTGTATATTGGGAGTAAATAACTTGTTGAACTCATGGGCTCATAAGATCAGTGGACTAGATGATACTTGGGACTTCACACATGGGACTTGAGACTTGAATTAATGCTGAACAAGTTAAGACTTTGGCAGACTATTGTAAAGGCATGGTTGTATTGTGGTATGTGAGGAGGACATGAGATCTGGGGTATCAGAGGCAGAATGATGTGGTTTGGATGTTTGTTCCCTCCAAATCTCATTTCAGATGTAATCCCCCATGTTGATGTGGGGCCTGGTAGGAGGTATTTGGATCATAGGGGAAGATCCCTCTTGAATGGCTTGGTGCCTTCCCAATGGTAATAAGTGAGTTCTTGCCCTGCTAATTCACGTGAGAGTTGATGCAAGAGTTGATGGTTTAAAGAAGCCTGGCTCCTCCTCCTCTCTCTTGTTCCCACTCCTGCCATGTGATATGCTAGCTCCCTGATGCTTTCTGCTATAATTGTAAGCTTCCTGAGGCCTCACCAGAAGCAGATATTGGTACCACAGTTCCTGTAAAGCCTATAGAACCATGAGCCAATTAAACATCTCTTCTTTTTCTGTTTTTTTAATTTCTTCTAAAAAAAACGGGATACATATACAGAACATGCAGGTTAGTTACATAGGTATATGTGTGCCACAGTGGTTTGCTGGACCTACTGACCCATCCTCTAAGTTCCCTTCCCTCATCTGCCACCCCAAAATAGACCATGGTATATGTTCCCCTCTTTGTGTCCATGTGTTCTCAATGTTCAATTTGCATTTGTGAGTGAGAACATGCAGTATTTGGTTTTCTGTTCCTGTTTTAGTCTTAGAAGATGATGGCTTCCAACTTCATCCGTGTCCCTGCAAAGGACATTATCTCATTCCTTTTTATGGCTGCATAGTATTCCATATTTTTTATCCAATCTATCATTGATGGGCATTTAGATTGGTTCCATGTCTTTGCTATAGTAAATAGTGCTGTAATAAATATATATGTGTATGTATCTTATAGCAGAATGATGTATATTCCTTGGGTATGTACCCAGTAGTGAGATTGCTGAGTTAAATGATATTTTTGGTTCTTGATTTTTGAGGAATCACCATACTGTCTTCCACAATGATTGAATTAGTCAACATTCC